CAAATGAAGTATTTTATAAAGGTTTGGAGTAAATAAATAATAAAACTACTTTGATATACAGTCTAACAATATTAAATATTAAGAATTAAAGTGGTCAATTTTAATACTTAATTAACATATTTAAAGTCCTTGTAGCTGTCCTGCATTAAAGATTGAAAGAATTTTTAAATAGGTCTTCATACTTTTATCTTGTCTTGTTTGTAGTTGATCTTTTAAAGAACATTGTTTTCAAACATAAATTTACCTTTAACTACTACCATTTCAACTTAAAAAGTTATTTTTCTCTTTTGTGTGATTTATGTAAGATGTTTAGTTACTTCAGTTTTTAATTATGAAAATAAAGCTTCTAAACTTACGTCAAGGAAGCTTTCTGTTAGAGCCAAGATGTCATATTAGGTTAAATGCACACCATATCATCGTGAATTCGTTCTACCTATGACACATACTGACTTTTGCTATCTTATTCCTGTTTGCTATAAAATTCTGAAGTAGTATGTTGAAACTTGTGTGGTTTTTATCCTTCTTCTTGTTCTTGTTCTTGTTCTCCTCCTCCTCCTCTTTCTTCTTTTTCTTCTCCTCCTTCTCCTCCTCCTCTTTCTTCTTCTTCTTTGGTGTGTGTGTGTGTGTAAAGTAATACCTCTTTGTGTTTTCAGTGCTTGATTTAATTATTATTTAGTTTGCCATCAGTCAAGAATTCAAATGAAGGAATAATGTTTATATGAACTTTTAAAATATATATATCTTTAGAATGACAATTCAGAATACTAATTCTAAGTAAGTATTATAAGCAGTGAAGAAATGAATGTAAATTGGAGAAAGTGAAATTTCACAGTCAATGAGAATAGATTAGTTTATTTGAACTTGTGTTTATATGCTATTTTAAATAGCACATGCTATTCAACATATTATGGGTAGTATTTTACCCATGCATTGCTAGCAACTCGAACTTTTAATTAAGAATACTTTCTATAAACAAAAAATATTGCAGTGTCTTTAATATACATTAAATCCCAACCATCATGACCTTTGAAATAGCCATTGTCTTGTAAGCTTTGTATTAGTGTATAAAATTTTTGAGATAGTCTTTCATATTTAGATTTAATATTGTAACAACCAGATTCATGTCAGAATTTGTAAAAGAAGTTTTAGGTATAATAGAACACTGAATATGTAATTTTTAAAGATCCATCAGGCCAGTAAGAATATAGACACATTTGTTTAAATATCTTTAATAATAAACTTTGCTTTGTAATAAACTTTTCCAAGTACATTTATGAAACATAAATTGGGGAATTCCTAGTAAATTTATTTCACATTTAAAAGCAACATTTTATTTCAATTTTTACAGGGATATCCCACTAGCAATAATAGACAGAATTAATATTTTTATTCTAAAAGATACAATAGGTCTTTACATTTAAAACAAAACAATGGAATCCAAGGCAGCAACTTTTTAGTTACTTTTGAATTAGATTAGTATTTAAATCTGTAATTAAAACAAAATGAAGAACATCATCCATACTCTTTATCACTAGATAACTTGAAAGTAACTTATTAGTAGTTTGCATGTTTACTTTGTTTAATTATAAATACTTTTCAGTGTCTCAGTTTTGATCTGTAGGCATCGTAAATTATGATATAGTGCTTTCCTTATTGTAAAGAATGATTGTAATTTCTATCTTTATGAATAGTTTAACTTTACATTTTGGCTTTTGGCTATTACCATAGACTTTGTCAAGTTCTAGCAGTGGTTCTCACCCTCCCTAATGCTGTGACCCCATGTTCTTCATGTTGTGGTGGCCCCCAACCATAAAATTATTTTATTGCTACTTCATAACTATAATTTTGGTACTGTCATGAATCATAATGTAAACATTTGATATGCAGGATATCTGATATGTGACCCCCACTGGGAGTTGAGACTCACAGGTTGAGAACTGCTGTTCTGAAGGATTATAATTAAGTCTAATTTTATTGAATCATTTTTCGAATTTTAAACTTCTCTAAGGAATGAAAAAATCCTTAAGTGTCTTTCAGCATCTTGAACAGATATGAATATCATGTTTTTCAGATGTAGGTGTCTCTTTTCTGTATTGTCTAGGCTTGTTTCCAGCCTTCCCCTGAGTATTGGGGACAACAGGTACAGACCATTATGGATCCCAGTTGACCCTCCTGGTTCCTATTTTTGAGACAGAATCTACTGTAGTCTAGTTATGAACCACCTTATTTAGTGTTAGGGATTGTACTCAGGGCTTTGTACCTTTTAAGCAAGCACCCTGCCAACTGAGCTATACCCCATCTCTTCTTTACTTTCTAAAATAGACTTTGATCTCAGTTTGATTGTAATCTGTTTTTCAGAAAGTATAAAATCCCTAAAATTCATTCATTTGTACTTGTAAAGCTTGTAAATCTATTCCATGGCAGTAATTATTTAAAAATTTGCATTATTTGCCAATATGTGCAATTTTGTAAGAAGATTTCACACCATCCTGGATAACTGTTGTCTGTCTTGACAAAACAGAACCAGAATGAAGGATGCTTCAGTTATTCATTGGCCTCTCCCTCTCGTTGCTTTATAATTGGTTTGTCCTATTGACTTTCTCCTGAGATACCCAAGTAATGCTGGAAAAAAAGTGCGAACTTTGGAAAAAACCAGAGTGTATTCAATACTCTTTAATACTATATGAGGCTGGAGAGCTGGCTTAGCAATTAAGAGCACTAGCTGCTCTTTCACAGGACAGGGGTTCAATTCCCAGCATCCACATGGTGGCTTATAAACTTCCGTAACTCCAGTGCCCGGGATCCAATACCCTTGTCTAGCCTCTGTAGGCACCAGCCATGCTTGCAGACAAAATACACATACAAACAAAAGTGAATGAATGAATGAATGAATGAATGAATGAATACTTATTATGTGGCTGAGCAAATTTAATTAGGTTTCTCTTGGGTAAAATTTCAGTAAAGATAAAGAAGATACATAATTAGGTTGTAGGGAGAATGTGACGCAATATTTCCCCATATATTCATTGTTTTAAATATTAGCTGTTACTGGTAACACCTGCTACCTGACTTCCTTACAAATTTGAACTTGGTAATCATATTTTGGTTCACTGTGGAAGACTTACTTTGTTTTCATTTATTTGTTAAACTGAATTCATTCATTGGATTCTGTTTTATACTATAGCAACCTGTATTTTGTTATTCTCTATTGGATTCTATTCCTCAAAGTTCCTTCTATATAAGTTTATTGATTTGAACATACATTTCTAAACTCTGACAACTGTCTTAGATACATGAGGTTGGATTTTGTGGTTTTAGAAAGTCCTGTTTCATGTTCACTGTCTAGTTGCTTCTCTGTCACTGTGATAAAGTATGACCAAAAGCAACTTGGGGATGGAAGAGTTTATAACATCTTACCAGTTAGAATCCATCATCAAGGGAGACCAAGGTAGCAGCTCAAACAGAAATCCAGAATCAGGAACTGAAGCAGAGTGTGGAAGAACAGTGATCACTGACTTGCTCTCTGTGGCTTTCTCGGCTTACTTTCTTTTCTACCCTAGAACCATCTGTAAGGGCTAGCACTTCCATCAGTGTGTGAGATTCTCCACACCAATCATTAATCAAGGAATTCCCCTCAGATGTGTGGACATGTCAGCCTGGTGGAGATATTTCCTCTGTTGGTGTCCTTTTCCCAGGGGACTCTCGTCCTGTCAGGATAACAAAACCACCAGCACTTTCACAATCCCTTCTTTATTTTCCTAACTGTCTACTAATCTTGGTTTAGCCATAATCCCAAGGGAACAGGACTTATTTACACTGAATTGTGATTGTGGGTGAGCAAGGGAGCTGAGTTGTTCTCATAAAAATCAGAAAAACCACAAGAGTATATTACAAGGTAAGATTTTTTTAGAGCTAAAGCAGATGGGATAGACGTTTTGAAGTGCATGAAGATTAATACGGATTTGTGTAGTTGTGCCTCTAAAACCTGCTCTCCATATTTAAATAATTAAATCTTATAAGATTGACTATTTTTTTTGTTGTTTTTTTTGTTGTTTTTGTTTTTGTTTTTCAAGACAGGGTTTCTCTGTGTAGTTTTGCGCCTTTCCTGGAACTCACTTTGTAGACCAGGCTGGCCTCGAACTCACAGAGATCTGCCTGCCTCTGCCTACCGAGTGCTGGGATTAAAGGCGTGCACCACCACCACCCGGCCAAGATTGACTATTTTATTTATTAAATGTCATTTTCATTGGACTTGCTTACTCATTATTTTTTGCAGTTTCTTTCATATGTGATACTTACATAATTTTGAATAAAAATTGATGAAAGTGTTATGTAAATTGATGAATTGATTACATCAATTGTGATAACTATATAATATAGTGTGTGCTATATATCCATTAGGAATTGCAATTTAGAACAAAGGGCAACACTCATAATAATTTAATAATAATTTATGTAATTTAATAGTACTTCTATATAATCAATATGTTTTCCTTAGTGGATCACATTGAAAATGTGAACTCTAAATATCCACGGTAAAGACAAGCATAAGCGTAATACAACAAAATGTTAGCAATGGTTTTTCCTACTAACATTACTATGAGTTATTTTCATTGACTGTATTTTTTGTTTTGAATGTCCTTGTTAAAATGTACAGCTTTGTTAAACAAATGATGTTATAAAAATGAGATTTTACAAAAACTTTTAAGATAAGCGTTTTGTATAAATTTTACTAAAAATAAATGTAACTCCACATCAAAATAAAGGTTATAAATGAAGTCTAGACTTTTTTTTGAAGCATTAATGGCATAGAAATTTTTTGACTTTTTTTTTTTGCTCTTTTTCACAAGTCCTCCAAGGTACAGTAACAGACCCTGTAGCCTATAGAAAGCTTGTTGATGTCTACATGCTCATTTAATCATTTCATTCTGTCTAGTATTTCTTCCCAGTCATATCAGAAAAAAATATATTCATCTTTTTTCTTTTGGATTTTCATCTAGGTAATTACTTTTTGTGACTGTCTCCACTTTATGCAATGTATCATTCCATCTCTGAAACTAGACATCCTCTGCAATCAGAAGAACAAGAAGTAGGCATTGACCCCTTGTCCAGCTATTCAAATAAGTCTCTAGGTAAGTTTTGTGTGCAGATGCCATTTCCATATGCTGGGAACTTAACAGAGGGACTTCAGTAAGTTCTGTCCATACTATAGGTGTAAGTCTTTCCATGAAGCTAATCAGAACAACTTTAAGAATATTTTTCTAGATATGTATAGAATATTCTTGATACTAGTGAATACCAGAAAAAGCTCCCTTTGTATTGAAGGTAGAGGATATATTAACCAAATGTTTAATACACTGTCATTCTTTAAGAAAAGTTATATTCTAGACAATGCCTGTATATATAAAGTCATTGAAGTACAAAATGCTGTTGTCAAACATGTTTTGAAGAATCATAAACTGTTGGTATTGACTTTTCAGTTAATCTATCCCTTGCCCCCCTCCCCTCTACACATACATTAAATTGAGCTAAATTCTAGGATGAACTTTATTGGCAGTGATTCACATATTCCTTTTCTTTTCTGTAAATAATTGAAATTTGTGTCACACTATTGTAGATATGTGCAATAAAATTGTTAAGTTGTAGATTATTGAAAGATATGCATTGTTGATGTTCTATTCTTTAAAATGTTTCAAATATGTATGTGTCAGAACTAGATACTATTTTTCCATGTTTACTTAATGATAGACTTTCTGAAAGATATGAGTTATGAAAATTCTTGAAGCTTTATCCTTATTCTTGAGTAGTTCATTGAATGCTATTAAGTTCCTTGCTCAAGTGACTAAGCGTATTTTTTTTAACTCATGAAATGCATATATCAAGAAATCTATTTCAAACAAATTTGGTAAAATAATTCAAATAAAGTTATTTTTACCTGTATACTGATAATAAGGTCTGCTATGTTATTTTGGTAATTTTAAGAAATTAACTGATGCCTAATTTGGTCATTTCTATAGAAAAAAGCTCTTTATGAAGTGCATTTTTTATGTATTTATTTATTTATTTGTGTGTGTGTGTGTGTGGAGAGAGAGAGAGAGAGAGAGAGAGAGAGAGAGAGAGAGAGAGAGAGACAGACTCTTTAATGCTTTCTACACCCTGTAAATGCCATTGATATTTTTGTTGAAAATAGCACCTTTTGCCTTTCAAAATTATTTTGTGATTTTATTTTATTTTATTTTTGTTACATGAGGACTTAAAAAGAAAACTGTTTAGATTTTGGTAATATGAAAATTAATTCTCATTATTGTAGTTGAAGTATTTTAATATGTTGTTAGAAAGCCTGAAAGCTTTTCTAGTTATGTTTCCCTTAAATTTAATACTTGTAAGAAGTACTCATAATTCGATAAATGCTTTAAAAGTGAGTATGTATTTGTATTTGAAGCATACAAAATAATTTTGTCAATACTTTTTTGAATATCTCTTGTTTATATGCTTATTTGAGAAGATCATTTTCTGTTGTGTTTTAAGTGAATATTTTTCTATGGCTATTTCATTAAATATCGAACATTTTTTTCTTTACCCTGGTTAAAAACATTTTAAATTAATTTTATCTTTTATTGTCTAAAGGAATGAGCAGTTACCTTTACTGAAAGGGATTTTCATTTATATCCTAGCCTAACATTTCTGTGACATACCAAGTTATTAGGACTGAATTGATGTTTTAAAGTGCCATTAATTCATTTACCCCAAATGTTCATTAACAATGTAAATGTATGCTGATGTTCTATGAGACAAGGAAGTGACTAATGACTCTTCCAACTAACAACACTTAAAATGAATAGAAACTTTAGATAGCTAATCTTGAAGTAATCAAGACCCTCATTCAGCTTGGCATCTCTGTATGCTCTACAACAGCTGTCAACTGTTAAAAATATATACAAAACACACATACATGCAGGCACATAAGGAGAGCAAGATATGTAAATATCTGTTTTTTCTAAGCCATAAAGGTTACTAACCATAGTGAGTTTTGTGTGTTGTATGTGTAAACATTTTACATCAAGTACCGATTTGATCTTCTTAAATTGTCATTTTGCACGCACAAAAAAATTATGTATTGCGTTTTCTTGAGGTTGTCATATTTACTTGAAGAATCATCACCATTGTAGTTTATTTTTATTTCTGTCTTGCATTGGGAGTTTTGAAGTATTTGGAAGCTTTTTGTGCATTTCTGCAATAGACTATAGGGAATTTATGGCTACACAATGACTCCTTGTCTAAACAGATAAACACCAGATTTGGATTAGTAGTTTTCCTGCCTCGAGTCATATGCAATTCAAAACAATCCTGTCAGAGTTTCCAATAGTAAAGTATTCTATTTTCTCAAATGTGAACTCTAACATTTGTAAAGAAACAGTACTATTAAATGATTTTGAGTTCTTTTAAAATTAGGCATGAAAAGGGGATTAGAGAAAGAAAGGTACATATTTTATTTTCATTGGGGAAGTTAAAGAACTGTTCCTACATATGTGTGACATCTTAGAACATATTTATTTTCTGTTAATTACACTTTTAATCTTTTTTTTTTCTAAACAATAAACAGTATAAAATATCTTACATATTCTTTGTGCCTTACCATGTTTTATCATTTGTTTAAATTACCATCTTAAATTCTAGAATCTTTGGTAATAATTGACCCGATACACATAATTTCACAGAAAATAATACACTATTTTTCGCTTTCATAATTATTTGTTCTTACCATCTGACTTTAAATGATAAATCAAATAAAAATGATTATTTTTAATTGCGACTGATAATCTCAAGATAGAGGAGAATTTCATCTATTGAATAGTCTAATTAGGAATACCTTTTTTTTTTTTTCTCAATTTCTTTCTTTCTTTTTTTTCTTTTCTTTTGATATTTTCGATACAGGGTTTTTCTGTGTTGTTTTGGTTCCTGTCCTGGATCTTGCTCTGTAGACCAGGCTGGCCTAGAACTCACAGAGATCCACCTGACTCTGCCTCCCGAGTGCTGGGATTAAAGGCCTGGCTTTGTTTATCCATTTTTATAACAGCTTACACTTTTATTTGTGCTGCAAGAAGATTTTCCTCTATTGAGTCTTCTTTGAGAATACTATTTTATAATGTATTGCCAAAAGTTTTAGCTTGGGTATTACATGATAGAACATTCCCCTTCTGACTTGACACTTGTGTATTGTTAGGTAACTTTTACTGTATCTCTTTCTTTTTAAACATTACCTGCTTCACAGCTTTCTATCCTCAGATAGAAAAATAGATGATGTTCAGAATACTTTTAAATTTAGTATTGCTTCTATAAGCTATTTTTCCCCTCAGTTTTCCTTATGTCGCTATCAGAGTTTTCGAACTAGAGGGATAGACATTGTCAATAATTGACTTTTTGTTGTTGTTGTTTGTTTGTTTGTCTGTGTAGACAGGGTTTCTCTGTGTTTCCATGGATGTCCTGGAACTTTCTTTGTAGACCAGGTTGGTCTGGAACTCACAGAGATCCCCCTGACTCTGTGATTAAAGGAGTGCACTAACAACCTGGCGACTTGTTAGAGCTAATTTTTATATGGTGAAAATTTTAGTAGAGTATGAATGACTTTGGCCAAGATCACCACTATATCATTAATATCTTTAAGTATATTAGTACTTACTGTATTTTATTGAATGGTTTAGTTTTTTAATGAATTTATTACTTGTTTTAATACATTGCTAGATAATGAGATATGTTGATATTATAGTTGATAAAGTAAATCAATATCTAATAAGTGAATTAGAGAATCATACAAACACATATTTTTGCCTTTTTGTTGTTGTTGTTCATTTTATTTTGTTTTGTTGAGACAGGGTCTCATTATATAACCCTGTCTGGACTGGAATTCACTATGTAGGCAAGGTGGGTGACCTTGAACCCAGTTATACATCTGCCTTTTCCTACTGAGTGCTGGGGTTCAAGTCATGTGCTACCACACCTGACTCACATGTTTACTATCAAACAACAAGTACTATAGACCATGTACCTAATACCTAATGTTAGCTTATTTATATAAAATATTTATTGAAAATTTAGTATCTGGGGAAAGAATATTGAACAGTAAATTCTTTCATAACATTCACATTTTAAAATATATTTCTCTTAAGTATTTGAGAATTTCATAAATGTGTTTTGATTGTACTCAGCCCCTCATTTTTCTCCTACACTACACCACCTCTGCAACCACTCCTAACTTTGTGTCCTCTTTTTTTTTTTTAAATAACCTTTTGTGTCCAGTTTTTGCTGCTCATAAACTTGTGGATGTGAGGCCATCCACTGCAGCTTTGTGAGTAGGTCCGAATCTTTAAAGAAGAAGGATTCTCCCTCCCACAGAAGCAAGCCGCCTTGGTTAAGTTTGGGGCTCCCCTCCCTTGTCAATGCGCTCTGTTGACAGGCTTGGTGTTTTGCATCTCTCTGCACTGAAAACATTAATGCTGAATAATGTCAGTGTTAGGGTTCATGAGAAGTCCCGTAAAAGACCACTAGACATGTATGCAATCAACAGGAACGTTTAGTTTCTCTAGAATAAAAATTTGAGCATGCTAGGGTCAAACTATCCAACAAAGTGGTAAAATGGCAACCTTGAAAGAAGCTCACAGGCTCCTTTTAAGCAGGATTATTGGAATTCCAGCTGCAGTTAAGTGTACTTTGATGTGATTGGGTATAGACCCTTAGAGGTATAGGAATCTTTTTATGATTGGCTCACAACTTCTGGTCAGCAACTGTGGTTGCAGTGTCAGGGGTCTGTGTTCTGTGTCGGGTCTGTCTGCAGTGTCAGGGGTCTATTGACTGAAAATAGCAAGAATAGTTCCTGCTTGTGGCTGAATAGGACCCTGATTGGCTACTAAACTGGATGTATTTCCTGAGGATCTGATTGAAGCCAGACATGAGTCAACATAGGATGGTGGGGTAATATGGGGCAGAGTTAATAGCAAACTGGCTCTGGAAAACAAACAAACAAACAAACAAAAACCCGTCTCTGTTAGGGTCAACCCTGTTACAAGAGGGGATGGCTGCTTCAGTAAGCCAGACACAGAAAGACCGTAATCTCATGTTATTACTTGTATATTGA